TTAATGAAATTAGTCGCAGAAGCGTTTGAAAATAATGCTATATTTTAAACATATTACAGAGGCTTCAGTCAATTAATAGGGTACTTGACGCAGCGGGAAAAGATACTCATAAGGCTGAGACATTATTCAAAACTGATCGGATAACAGCAATATGGATAGCTCTGGTAGATTGGTCAGCCTTGAATAGCAATGGAAGCAACTAACATACCGCTGCAAGAGGTAATGAACCTAAACGAATCGTCAAAGGTTGGGAAAGACTGAGAGACGTGGTATGAAATTGTGAATGGCGAACGCCAATTACTTATGTCTAAGCACTACAAGTGTTACACTTAATTGAGTCAGTGCTGCCACGAAGCGTCGGCCTATGTTGTTTTAGTCGTATTGTTTGAGATGGGCGAAAGAACTGAACTATGAATAAGCATTGTTTATCCACTTATTCTCTAAAGAAACGAGAACGCGGGAAAATACGTACAAAACATGAAATTGCAAAGGCTGATATTCTGTGATTACGGAATAGGAACCCTGTTCAATCAAAATACGACAAAAGTGTATATCTCTGAAATAACGTGGAAGCCAAACGGGCTGAAAACAACTCCCATTGAATTCAAATGCATGTTTCATCGTTCATTGAATTTGTCCTCGTTGTAGGCACGTCATGAACACAAGTTGACGCTCTTCTAATTTATCTGTTCTCTGCCTCCACAGCTGCAAAGTAATTTGATCATCTAGTCTTTCCGAGACTTTTAGAAGATCGAAAGGACGTTTTTCGTCCAGCGGAATTGAGCCTGCAAATGCTAAATCCACTGGTTGCTCCTCAGGCAAGTCAAATGTGAGACCATTTTCTCGTTATCGCCGTAAAGGAAGAGTTAATTCTGTTAATCCTGTCTGTTTTCGAATTTGTGGGCTTGAAACGCAATCACAGAACGATACTTTGCGCATTCTTCGTTCCATCGCTTTCAGCATAGTAATCAATTTATTCTCTTTAATAATTGACCAGCTCTCGGAGTCGTTGATCACGGCGGAAAGGAAAGTAAAATAAATGAAATGAATGTGTTATTGAACCTGCATATGTTAGACAACTATGTGGCAAGTTGTCCATTAACTAGACAACAGGGAAACAGTAATTATGTTCGATCAACTCCTTCGAAGCAAATTAAATTACAGAAAACATACAATACGGCTATGCAAAACAGAGCAATGATCATTGGAACAAGAAACGCCGCATTTGTTGAGATACCACTTAAGATTTCACTGTTCGTCATTATTCCTTTGCAAAGTATCCAGTTTTATTACACAACCAAGAGCGTTCTTCGTAGCCTTTAGAATTATCGGGTCTAAAAGATCCGAAACGGCGAATTTGCCATGAACTGAACTGATTCGAAACCTACTAACTCACATATTTTGCTTTTGTCAACGATCAGTATATCATAAATAAGTTTACGGGTGTTTTAACATATCAACATAAAGACTAAGTCACAACTGTGTACATTTCAGGTACTATACTTAGCGTTGTTCCCGTGTTGCATAAGCAACTACTTCAGCATAGTTTGAAAAACAGTGGATA